CTTTCCTTTCTTCCTTTCCCTTCCTCCCTCTTTTTTCCTTCCTTCTTTCCTTCCTTCCTTTTCCTTCCTCCCTTTCTTTTTTCCTTCCTTCTTTCCTTTCTTTTTTTCCTTCCTCCCTTCTTTCCTTTCTTTCTTTCCTTTTTCCTTCCTTCCGGAATCCTAGGACTACAAGGGGCCTCGGAGGTCATCTAGTCCCCCCCCCCCACCCACCCCGCTCAAGACCCTGGACCATTTCAGGCACTCTGCCTCCACCCCCCCATCCCAGCATGCTCGGTGTTCCTGCCCCCACCTCTCCCAGCCCCACCTGCCAATCAATCCTCAGAGACCCCCCCCCAACCATTGCTGGGCTCCTCTGGGGGTGCATGCTTTTTTTTCCCACGCTGGCTGCACCCCAAGGCTGCAGTGGGGGAGGGGGGGCAGAGCTCACCCTGGATCCAAAGCCCCAGAAGCCCCCTTTGGTGTTGTGTGTGCGTGTGTGTGTGTGTGTGTGCGTGTGTGCGTGCTACACCTGGGTCAAAGATAATAAAAAAAAACCACCCAGAGTTTCTTTTTAAAAAATGGGCAACCTCCCCGAGACAATGAGGCCCTTGTTCCTCGGTGCAGAAGTGGGTTTGCGGGGCCCCACTGGAGGGGAGGGGAGGGGAGGGAGGGAGGGGAGATCAAAGGTGAAGCCCACCCCCCCTCCACTGAAGGGCAGGGGCCGCTTCAGACCAGGTTCCCAGGCCCCTGGGAGAGGGGAAGGAAAAGGGGCTTTGGAGCCAGAGCTAAGGGGGTGCACCCAGGGAGACCCACCTGCCGGGCCCTAAAAATCAGGTCCAGGCCCCCCCCCCCCCCCCCCCCCCCCCCCCCCCCCCCCCCCCCATTGGAAAGGACCTCTGGGTTTGGGTCAGCGTCTTTGGGTCAGCTTCCCGACCAAAGCAGGCCTTCCGGGCCCCCCTTTCCTACGGCTTTGTTGGACTATAAAATGGGGAGAAATGAGAAGAATGGGAATTTAGGGGAGGAGGAGAGGAAAAAATATAGGATAAAAAAGGGGGAAGACAAAGGAAAGCCCTGACATCTGACTCTTTTTAGTAAAACAGTGCAACAACACAACGGCGTTTTCAACTTTACTTTTTCATAAATAATACATACCGTAAGAACAAACCAATTTCACAACTAAACCCCAAATCAAAGCTTTCTTTCTTTCTTTCTTTTTCTTTCCTTCCTTCCTTCCTTCCTTCTTTTTTTCTTTCCTTCCTTCTTTCCTTCTTTCTTTCCTTCCTTCCTTCCTTCTTTCTTTCTTTCTTTCTTTCTTTCTTTTTCCCCCCCAAACACCTCAAGGGCAAACTCCAGAAGTGGTTTCCAAACAGAAGCACTCCTCGGCTTAGGGATCGTTTAGTGAGCCAAGTTACGATGGCACAGAAAATAGTGACTTGCGACCGTTGTTCAAACTTACGACCATTGCCGCCTCCCCCGGGGGGGGGGTCCCACGGTCAAAATTCAGGCGCTTAAACCACTGACTCCCGTTTAATGAAAACATCTGCAAGAAAACAACCCAGCTCAGAGGGCACCAAGGACCCCATAGCCTTCCTCCTCCTCCTCCTCTCCACACACCCCACAACCTTCCAGCACTGGTGACGTTCCCTAGCTGGGTCATCAAACGTTCTGCCAAAATCAACGCAGCTCGCAAGAGCCTCCCGGGATCACCCGTCCGTTCAGCCCCCTTTTTCCTAAGGAGCTTCATTTGCGCTCTTAATTACTATGATTATGCGGTGCTCATTTATTTATTTATTTATTTGTTTTGAGGCCTGCAATTTGGTGCCTCCTCCTCCTCCTTCCTTGGGAATATGCTTCCTCAGCGGAGCCGAGGTTCGAAAGGAGCCCTTCGCAAGGGCCGCGTGGTGTGAAATTGGCCTTCGCTTTTTAAAAATAAAACTCCTGCAGGTTTCCGGCAGGACATTCCCACAGGTGACTGACTCCGCCAGCTGTTATTTTGCACCTGTCGCCCTCTGGTCTCTAGGCTAGAGAGGGGGGTCTCCCACCTCGGCCCCTTGAAGACTGGAGGACTTCAACTCCCAGAATTCCCCTGGTCGGCTTGGCTTCGTCTCTTGAGATCCCCTCCTCTGCAATCTCTCCGTTTGAATTTGAGTTCTCTTCCGTGCTGGGAGTGGAAGGCCGGAAGCTTCACCGGCTGAGGAATTCTGGGAGTTGAAGTCTTCAAGGGGCCAAGGTTGGAGATTGAATCTGGGGTCTGGAATTGGGCAGTCCGTCCTGGACGTACGGCCACAACTGAGCCCACAATTACTGTCACTAAGTGAGACGGGGCTAAAGTGAACGCTTCCCCCCCATTTTATGACCTTTCTTGACACCGTTGTTAAGTGAATTGCGGCAGTCGCTGAGGTAGTAACACGGTCTTTAAGTGAATCCAGCTTCCCCGTCGACATTGCTTGTCAGAAGGGTCGCAAAAGGGGATCCTATGATCCCCTGGACACTGTGACCATCATAAATACAGGTAGTCCTCAACTTATGACCAGAATTGAGCCCAACATTTATGTTAGCAACATAAAGAGGTATTTGTTAAGTGAGAAGTTTGATAAGTAAGTTTTGACCCATTTTACAACTTCCCTTGATGCGTTTGTCCAGTAGATCCCTGCATTTCTTGAGTTAGTAACCCGGTCGTTAAGCGAATCCTGGACTTACGACCACAACTGAGCCCAAAATTACTGTTTTGCTAGGTGAGACAGTGTTTAAGTGAATGTTTCCCCCATTTTATAACCTTGACGCCATTGTTAAGTGAATCACTGCAGTTCTTGAGTTAGTAACCCGGTCGTTAAGCAAATCTGGCTTCCCCATTGACTTTTGCTCATCGGAAAGGTCGCAAAAAGAGAATTGTGTGACTCTGGGACATTGAAATCATCATAAATGAGAGTTGGCTGTCAACCATCCAGATGTAAATCATGTGACATATGAATGCTGCAATGGTCATAAGTGTGAAAAATGGTCATAACTCACATTTTTCACTGCCATTATAACTTTGAACTGTCACTAAATGAACTATTGTAACTCAAGGACTACCTGTATGTCTGTATTTTGATCACGGGACCGTGGGATGCGGCAACGGTTGTAAGTGTGAAACAGGGTCATAAGTCACTTTTCCCAGAGCCGTTGTAACGTCGACTGGTTACTAAATGAATTGTTGTTAAGTCAAGGACAGCCCGTAGCTGTTTCTCATAAACCTCAGATAAATCTTTCCTTGCCTTTCAGTGACAAATAACTTAAGACAAACCAATAACTTTTTAGCTGTTCAGTGTAAGAAAAATTATTCTAAGTTTTAGCTTGCACAGTTTTCCAAATATTTCTCTTGGGACACTATTTGCATGACATAATTTGGCAAAATGTACTAAAGGTCTGGTAAAGATCCAGCCAGCGGGTTGTGTACACAACAACAAAAAGTTTACGCAATGTTTACTTTGGCTTTTTCTGGGTTTTTAAAAAAATACTGCTATTAAAACCTTTTAAAAACGAGGGTAAAAACAAATATAAACTAATAAAAAGCAAGGTAGGCCAAAGAAAAGGAAAGCAAGCTAAAAGTGAAGGAAGGAAAAAAGAAAAACAGACAATAGGATGTAAATAAATGGTTTCTGATCTTTTTTAGAGCAGTTAAAAATACAATTAGAAATTTCCCTCTTCCTGTAAAAGTTGCAACAGAACTCTCTCTTCCTAAAATCTGCATCTAAGCACCAAAACCATAAATCACAAATTTATTTTTTTGTCTGTTCTGCACAAAAAGTCCAGAAGCGATTTCCAGCCAGCAATAAGCACAGATATCGTCTTTTTCTCTCATCAAATGAGTCAATTTAGCCACCCTCACCTTCACCAAACCTTCCTCCACTGTAGGGATTGGCAAACATTTCCACCTCTGACCGTAAAATAATCTCCCCGCCATTTTTAATCTACAAATATACAAAGTTCCACGCCTCTTTTCCAACTCTTTGTCCGCCAGCCGCCAAAACGGAAGACTTCTACTCTCAAACTGTATAATGGCCCTTTTTAAAAACCCTCTGAATCGGTGCCTTTGAATGCAAAATTCTCTTAGTTTTTTTTTTTTTTTACATGTCCACCCAAGCACGATAAATCTTCCCTTCTCGCTGCTTACATTCCCAACCGTAGATAAGAAGCCCTCTTTATTTTGGTGCTTCTCCGTGATCTACAATATTGGCCAAATTCAGTTTGCAACTCAAGAAGTGGTGGGTTTTTTATTTTGTTTTTTGCAAATCCAGAACATCCTTTAGCAACAGGCCAAAGGTGGTTTTGCAAACGGACCCGTGAGCGCGTGTGTGTACAAATATAAAGCAAATAATGGCCATTATTTTAGTTGCCACCCTGGATGTAGGCCGTAACCCACATCATGTTCCTTCCGACAAGGCGCAAATTCCCCTTCTGCAATCAGCTTAACCCATCTACACACATCTAAGGAAGCTGCGGCGCACACCGCCTTTGAATAAAAAAAATTGTGAGTCAGAAAAGTTGCTTCCAACTTTCGTCTGTTTTTTTTTTCTTTTTTTGATACCTGAGGCTAAGACAATCTGCAAATATCTTGGAAGAAGTTGTGGGTTTTTTTTTTTGTAAGGCAGGTGTGGAGGCATTTGGGGGGTCCTTTGTGTGTGCGCGTGTTTGATGCCTCCTGGCCAGAGGGAGGATTAAAACTACACAAGGATAAAGAGAGAGAGAGAGAGACTTACTCCGGGGGCCAAAGGAGGTCAGGGAGACAAGAATGGATCCCACTTCCTAGGTCTTCTTCTTCTTCTCCAACACCCCCCCCCAAACAATAACAGAATAGCAGAATACCAGAGTCGGAAGGGGCCTTGGAGGTCTTCTAGTCCAGCCCACTGCTCAGAATAAGATCTTTCCCGAAAAATCAAGGGAAGGGCTTGTCTCACAAACAAAATCTCGGGCAGATCTTGCAAAGTCACTTTCCTTCTCTCAAAGCAATTCCACAAGTACATCAAGTTCTTGACTTGCGACCACCGCTGAGCCCCCAATTTCCACGGTTTAACCCCAACGGCTACTCGTTGATTTATCTTAAGAGGAATTCTTCAGCTGGCCACAGCGACTCTGCTTTGCTCACAAGCCACAAAGTCTGAGGTGAGTTTTGCTCCCCTGTTTCCGACTTTTCTCGCCAGATTTCTTCAGTCAGTCGCCGCCGTTATGTTAGGAACATGGTCATTAAGTGAATCCAGCTTCCCCACAGATTTTGCTTTTCAGAAGGTCACAAAAGGGAATTCAAGGGACCTCCAGGAGGCCGCATTTCATTTAGTGACTGTTCAAATTTACGACACTGAAAAAAAGGGACCGATGGACTGTTTTTCTCACACTTACAACCGTTGCAGCCTCCCCCATGGTCACGTGATCAAAATTCAGAGGCTTGGCCACTGACTCGTATTTACGACGGTTGCGGTGTCCTTGGGGAGTCACGTGATCCCCTTTTGTGACCTTCTGACAAGCAAAGCGAATGGGGAAGCCAGATTCACTTAATGACCGTGTGACTAACTTAACACCTGTGGCGATTCCCTTAACAACGGTGACCAGGGAAGTTGTAAAGTGGGGCAAAACCCACTTAGCAAATGCCTAGCCTGGCAGTGGAAGTTTTGGCCTCCTGTTGTGGTCAAGGACCAGCTGTGTGGAGAAGCGGGCTTTGCACCTGGGGGAGTGAGGAAGCAGTCTGCAACAGCAAGCAGGGTGTTGTGTGTGTGTGTGTGTATGTGAGAAAGAGAGAGAGAGAGGAGAGAGAGAGGAGAAAAAGAGGAAAGAGGGGAGAGTGAAAGAAAGAGGGAGGGAAAGAGAATGAAAGAGAGAGAGAGAAAAAGAGGAAAGAGGGGAGAGTTAAAGAAAGAGAG